TATTCATTATCTTACAGTACACTGAGGATCAAATTAGTCATATGTAGAAAATTAGACTAGTTTTATCAGACACATTGAAGTAGAGATACATAGACACATTAAATAGCACAAAAGTGTACATAATGCAACCATGTCAATAGCCGAGTAGCTTTTTGTTCATTCATTTACAGTATTTACTTTCTGAATACATATGAGACACATTATGTAGAATAAAAGGGCATGATCCAGCCAACATTAGACTATACAGTAATTCTGTGTAGACATGTGGGATTCAACTCAAATGGGACTAGCCTCTGACTAAATGTTGTCTTGTCGGTCTGTCCAATTGACATCTGTGGGAGTTACAAGTGTTTCGCTTTCTTGTTTTTCCATCAAAGTACAAAACTGTGTTTTTCCTACTCAGATTAAGTCTATTGAATTGGAAGAAGCTGTTGGATTCCACTCAAGACAGGAATTCCATGCACCTCCCAAGCAGCCTGAAGAACTGACCATGTGTACCCAGTATTCCTACTACTTTGAATATGATGGAAAAATTAAGGCGATCCATGTATCAAACGGAATACCTGTGCTCTGTGTTAACCTGGTCAGAGGTGTCCTCAATATGATGCATGTAACACTGGAAAAGCAGATAACATATGAAGTTCAAGAGGTTTGTTCATACATCTCTTTCTCTCTTCTCTCTATCTGAAGCAAAAATAATGGGGATTGCAAAAAGCAGATGTAAACACAGGACAAAGAGACTAGAACATTTAGGACTCATATCTTCACATAGCAGCAGTTCACTCTAGCAAGCAATGTCTTCCTTCTTTGTTGTTTATCACAGGGTGTTGTCCTTTACAACAACCCAGTGGTCTTCCACAACCCCGTAATACTTGAACCTTGGCTATGGGTTGTTGGGAGTTGAATGCCAACAAAATCTTGTGGACCAGCAACTCCTCACCTTTGCTTTAGACTCTAATTTCACTGGGCAGTGAGCAATCAATTACTTTGGTCTTCTGCTTTGTTCCCTGAGAGTGAAGGAAAGTAGTGACTTTCAGAATCATTTGGAAACTTGAGGAATTTGTCTTCCAAAAGGGCATTTTACCAAAATGCTCTAAAGGCAGAATTAGTTTTACCCTACATTAAGCATATTTAACCAGTATGGTGAAATAGAAGTAAAGCTGGTTCCTTTATGAGCTATTTCATGCTTTAGAGGGGCAATACAAATTTATCTAGTAGTCACTCTGAGAGTAATCTGCCAGAACACAAACCCATCATTTCAGTGATGAATAGAAATGACTGTAATCTAAACAGATTGTAATACTTCAGACGGCATTGGATTAAAAATATATTCATATGCAAACTAACAGTTATCAAGGAAATTCCACCCCTTTCAGCACAACATTCAATGCTCACTTTTCTACTTGATTAGTATTATGCAATTAGACATGTTCTCTTTGAGAAATATAGTTCATAATTAGAATTTTCAGATGACAAGGCTTGACCCAAACAATTTGGTCCTGGATTGCTACTTGCACTTTGAAGCCTGGAAGCTAGGGACTACTGCCAGTCTTAGGGAATGAATGAAAAAAAAAATGGCCAAGTCCATTTCTCTCACCCACTTTGGAATATTAATAAGCAATATATATGGGCTAACAGAAGAAAACATACATCAGTAAAAAAAAATTAAAAGATAAATGATGTTTCTCAGCTGTTGACAATTTCTAATATCCCTGATACTGGTTTCACAGTACATTTGTCCCTTTCCCTCCTCTCTTTCCTTCCTCTCTGTCCCACATTGTTTCTGTGTTCATGTATCACTTGGTGGATTGACTTTATCAATATTTTCAGACGGGACTTCACGGTGATTGCCCAGCCCGGTACGTCATCCAAGAGGACAAGGATAGAAATGTTATTGTTGCCAAGGCCACGAACTTGAACAACTGCAATAAAAAAATTGTACGGAACCTTGGAATGTCCTACATCAATGTTCTGCCTAACTGCACACTGGTAAGAATGTTGTAATATATTTGGTCACAAGTGAGTGCTACTGATTCATGGGTGCTTGGCAAACATATTGTAATCCCTCCATGCTAGCATGGAGTTTGACCCTTATACAGTAGTTTCTATGAACGGAAAAGAGCAGATACGGATTAAATGGTTTTCAATGCATTCCTATGGGAAATGCAGATTCAACATAAGAACTTTTCAACTTGAGAACCACCTTCCAATACGGATTAAGTTCTTAAGCAGAGACCCCACTGTAACTGATCTTTATTCATGCTCATTTCTACCTCCTTCTGTCATTTAGAGCGAGAGAATGGTTCAAGGGACTACTTCATATGTCATGACGTTGAAGCGTCTTCCTGGTAGAACTGCCCAGATCACTGAAGTTGAGGCTCAGCAAGTGTTCCAGGTTTCTCCAATCAGTGAGGCTGATGGTGCTGGAGTAATGCGAGCTTGGTAAGTAGCAACAACGATGACAACAAATGAAGTCAAGTGACATGGTTCCAGTAGGCAAGGAAGAGTTGGACTTAATGGCAAGCAGGTCAAGCATTTTCAGCATTTAAAGAAATTCCCTTGCTAAAAAAGAAAATACTGTTATTATTTAAAGCTATCTTGTGGGTGTTGAGTTGATGATGAGGCAGACAAGAAGAGAGAGTGTTTTGTTCCACAGGTTAGCAATTTGTAGCATTCAAACTGTGGATGTTTTTTTTTTACAGATTAGCTAACAGTAGCTATTCTACTTTTCTGAGCGATTGAGAAACTCAAAGAAAAGAGTTGCTTTAAAATATAGCTATAAAAATATAACTATAGCCATAAATAGTTACTTGGGGCATGTAGAACTGTAATGGTAACAGTAATTGTGATAGTTACTGATCCAATTTTTAAAAGAGTACTCTTCCAAGGTCTGATGCCTGCATGCCTGGTTTCTATAGTGTAATTCCCAGGTGCCCCCCCCTTGACTTTCTGGAGTCCAAACCAGGAACAGAGCTGGGGACAGGAACACACTGGTCCTTATCCATTCCATCATGGCATCTGTCGGTTTCTCTTTCTTTACAGGCAAAGACTTTCCTTGATTGATGAGCCAACTCAAGAAGTCCCAGATGTGGAACAGAAAGGGAAAGGGGAGCAGCGCAGGACTGTAGACATTTATTATGAGTTCCCTGAAGATCTTCCTCAGATGATTATCAATGTTGGAGAGCCTGAGAATCGGGTAAGGAACGAGTGGCCCTATCCGTCTCTTGCTGAAATTCTAGGAATCATGCTTTGGTTGACAGGAGTGAACCTGTTGTACCTAGAGTTCTCTTCTTGTTAATCTAACAGGTTGAAGAAATATTGGAAGAGTTAGACCGCTTATCAGACATCCCTGTAGAGGCTCTCCCCAAGTACACCGAGCTGATCCAGCAACTCCGTCGTTTGAATCTTAAGAGTCTGCAAAAGTTGTTCAAAAATTTTGAGGAGAGACCAAAAGCCAGGTAGGTTGGTTGACCTGCACACAGCATCTCTCTAATTTGCTGACCTAGCAATCAGTATCCACCTTAAAGGTTTTCTTACCAAAGAAGCACATCTTTGGGTTGGCCATAGAATTGTCCAACTGGTATTTGTCTTATAAGGAAAGATTCAGAAACAATTTTAGAATGTTTTTTCTGTATATTGCAGACAAGCCCTGCTGCTTGGAATCATATATGCAGGCAATTCCAATACACTGAAGTTCATCAGAGATAAAGTGGTCAAAGAAGAACTGCCAACTAATGAATTATATTGGGTTGTTCCCATCACCCTCCACTTCGCCAACCCAGACATTTCTAAAGTGGAAGAGACAGCTAGAATGGCTGCAGTGAGTACATATGAAGTCATGACTGGCTGTACTGCCTTTTTTTTTAAAGTGTGAAAGATAAACTATCGGCAATAAAACTGAAAGTAAATGAAGAGGATTAATTGTCTATCAGATTCTGACTCCTGATTTCTTTTTCTGTCCAACAGGAAATAGTTGAGAAATTCAGTACTTCCAGATCATTTTGGCTTCAGAAGCTGATCTTTTTGGCACACGGTTCCCTCACCTACAAGCAATGTTCTCAGGTTCGGTCATGCCCCAATAAATTCTTAGAGGTATGTACTACTTATCTGTAATTTAAAACACACTTGTTAAAGCACAAAGAACATATTTTCCAAAGATATTAGAGAAATTGTTTCTTCAGCTCTCACAGATAAAGATGGTACAAATATTACAGTACTAATTTAAGAGATTTAGTCATAGCCAGTATAATTATGTTTGCTAACACAGATTTCAGGAATGAAGAAACTTTACAGTTTGACCTGGGTTCACACAAATACAGTGCATGTTTAGCTTCCTTGAAGTGAATTTTGTTCTATTCTTTTTTGATAAAGAGAAATTGTGTGCTTTAAAAACACAGCTTTATTCTTTGGATTCTGAATTAGTTTTCAAGAAATATTCATTCTATTTTCTTTTCTTTGCTCAGATAGAGTGGGGTGACCACTATGGTACCTTCATGATATAATGATTATTTCTTTTTATTTTCAATATATATCAGAGTTTGGAGAGAAAAAAACATTGGGTATTTTGGAATACAACAAGCAGAATTTCTTAGCTAAAATGCCCAACAGCCATGTTGGCTGGGATGCTGAAATTTATACCCCAAAAGTAATTTTTTCCCAAAACTTGGTGTATATTCTGTTCTAAAACAACAGTTGTCCATAGAATGCATTATATTAATGGAAATCTGGATGAAATTAGGAGGAGTAAATTTCTTTTTTGTTTGCAGCCTATTCACAACTATCTAAATGAGGCAATCAGGGAAGGCAATGAGAACAGAATGATCTTGGGCATGAAGACTATTGGCAATACAGCTCTGGCAGACAGCTTGAAGATAATAAAGCCTCTGACTGAGAGTGGTAAATATTCACTATATGTCCAGGCTGTTGCCGTTCAGACCCTGATGCGCATTGGCAAACAGAACCCTGAACTGGTAAGTGGATCATGAGTTGCTCACCTCCCTATATTAGGTACTAAGGGGGAAAAGAAAAGAAAAAGAAAACAAAATTGAGAGTCTCGGGATGCCAAACTCTGTGTTTGCAGACATGTCAGAAAAAATATATCAGTGATATTAAGCAAGATGGATAAAAATAAGGCCTCTATTTCAAAAGCAGTTAAACGTCTGAATACCACTGGTTGGGACGGACAAGTGGATATGGCTGTTACTGCCATGCTTTCCCAAGAGGATCTATATGTTATATGGTACGCTAAAGAGAGCTGGAGAACTGCCCATTTCCAGGCAGTTCTTAAGGTCTCAGCAGATGAGTCACTGACTCTGTACCAGAAAGCAGTGCACTCTTAAGAGGAGAAAACTATTTGCTTGTTTGAGCACAATAATATCTGCATCTGGCAAATTAGTCAGCTAATGTTTTATAACTGTTGAACTGGACGATAGCATGGCTTTGTTTCCATGTCTGATGTGCACTGACCCTAATATGTTTAAATATCAGACAGTGGATTATGTGCCATTTGTACAATCACAAAGGATGCCCATCTTTTTTATATACAACAAATTTCTCCTCAGAAAACTTGAAAATAGTTTTGTGCAGTATTTTCATGTTTATGTACTGATCCTTAATAGATCCATTTGCTCCCCTTTTAAAGCTGAGTCTGTTATAAATCACTGCACCCTACACAACTAAAGCGGGGTAAATCCTTTTAGCAAAGCAAACCCACAGAACATTTTCTCTTTCACCAGGTGCAAAGGGTTCTCCTTCCGATTTATATGAATGATTCACGTTCTGTCATAATCCGAAAGCTGGCTTGCATGGGACTCTTGGAAAACAACCCTCAGCCCGCGTTGGTGACTGTTATGGCTACAGCAGCACTGAATGACAGCAATATGGACTTTGTTAGCTTTGTCTACTGTCAAATGAAGGCTTGGTCAAATGTCAGGATCCCAGCATACCTCCGCCTGTAAGCAGCCATCTATCATGCAATCAGTCTCTTCTATTTATCATTCTAGCGCATTGTTAGCATGAATGTCTTTGATGAAGAGTAAGGGGGTAGGTGGGCATAATTCTTAACAGGAGCCATATTTTCAATTCAGCCAGGTTTGACAGACCAGCCAAATTTACTTAGCTTACTACAACTTATTTTCCCATAAATCAAAAGTAAACATCTGCTTTTTCCTCTCTGTAAATAGCAACAAAAGTTCTAGGTAAAATGTTCTTTCTTTCTTGACTGTCCGTCTGTCATGTATCCTGTTTCTATTTCAAGAAGATATAGAATCAACATTTAAAGCATTAACTGAATGTCAGATAAAATTCCTAAAAGCAGGAATAAAATGACTGTGATTTAAAATGCACAGGTAGACTATTATAGGAACAGGAGTTCCTTCAGCTCTTGGGGTATTTTTTTAGATACTTCACTTGCTTCCTCCCATTTCTCTGTACTTCCTCCTGGTTTACTGTACCTTGGTGGTGATGAAAATGGGTGAAATGCATAATTATGTTTACTTCTTTGTATAGGGTGGAGGGTCTTAGGATCAAGAGCTCTGTGAAGGACCACAAAGACAGTTCTGTGGCTCACCTTTGCCTTGATCATCTGGCTCTCCAGTTGCCTGTCTCTGTTCTTGCTTACTGGATGGAAGTCTTCTATTATGCCAACTGGTTCCTGTTCCAGTTTTGGCAGAGAGAAATTCCACACTGCTAGAGTGGCTAGTGACTAGATGCAAAAGCAGACAGGCTACATATGGCAGTTATGTTATTTGAAATCCTCTCCTCAACACAGATACATATGTTGAAAGCATAGAAAGAATTCTTCCCACTTAAGCAGTTGGCCACTCTGGCAGCCACATTAGACTGTTGCAGCAAAATTGACAAAGAATCCTGATAGCCTTGATGATCTTATTTTAGGCTGAGGCTTCATGAACTAGCATCCACATTTCCTTCTGTGTCCAATATTTGGTTGCCTTTTTAGTGTCACAGGACTCTGAGGCTGCGGTCTTATGCACACCTGAGAGGATGCCACATTGAACTCAGTGAGACTTACTTTGAATAGACCTGACTGTTTTTTCTGATTTCCATGCTGTTATCCATTTTATTTAGGGCCCGTGCTTGCAGACTTGCCCTTAAACTCATGGACTCTGTATTTGACCGAGTGAAATATCAGTATAGCAAGGTGGTTTATCTCAGCATTTTCAACAGTAAGTAATAAAAATTATTTTAGTCTTTACCAAGAAATCTTTGGCACATCATCATCCGTTCCTTTGCAAGAATGATAATTGTGTTGTGAAGCATGAAAGGATTGGAGACAATGTATTTCTGACACCAGGTTCAATTAATTTCTAACATGAAATAGGCATGTACAGTTTGAGTCCCACTAAACCAAATGAAGCTCAATGTAGAAAGTTTTGAATTTACATGAGTAGTGTTCGTGTGACCTCCATGGCTGTTTTGGCAACCTCTGGATCTTTCATTTTCTGGCCATGTGGTGAATTGCACCCCTTGACAGTTCCAAAAACTGACAATTCACCTTTTAAAGAGGGCCCTCCCTACATTATTAGCAACCCAAAATATCTGTTTTAAAAATCTGGATATGAACTTTTAGCCAGTTCTGGTTTCATTTTTCATGTTTCTTGTCACTGTTGGTAACCTGTGCGGTCCCTACACCTGTGCTGGTTGACCAAATAGCAAATCTTTACAAACTCTTTGTCCCCTCCCTGTTAGATCACATAATGAAAATTTAGCTAACTTTAGCCCCCTTATTTACAAGGCTTTGTCAGCACGAGGCTTTGTCAGCACAAAGATAGCATTTGCACTAGTATCCCATTTAATCTCCTGAATAAAACATACATGGTTTCAAAACTCTTGGGGAAACTTTTCAAAGAACAATAGCTAAGATGTAATATTTTCCTTTTTCAAAGGTGAATAATCCTCTGGTGTTGTCTTTGTCTCTGATTATAGGTTTACACAGAATTGGTTTTCTTGGGAAATGGTTTTTGATTGATGATCCCAGGTCAATGTTCCTCTCAAATATTGTACTTAAGACAGAAGCGTTCTTCTCGGGTACAATGATTCAGCCATTTGAGGTAAGCATTATACTTTTAAAGATAATATGTGGGGGGTGAAATAATACTTCAGTGGAGTGTGTTTCATTACTGGACAAAAATATTTCAGTCTATTATTTTTTTCCATTATCTTACACTGGTTTGCTTGGGATGCATTTGAACTTGCTTAAACTGTTTGTTTCCCTCTTCTTCTTTTCTTTTCAAAGTTTGCTTTGCATGCTGAGGGCATCAAGGAATGGCTCTGGCAACAAAACTTCCCATTCGACAAATACTCTACCCATCAGAAGATAAAAGACACTGAAGCAAAGGTACCATGCTCCTGTCTTTGAGCGCATGTTTTGTAATGAAATGAAGGTTTAGATTACTTCCAAATCTTTGTTAGAGTGACTGCACTGGTGACACCCATGATTTGGTGGCAAATCTCTTCCCATTTTTCATAAATGCATATACGGTGAAAGCAACAGCAAGTGATTTGATTGCCTATGCCTATTAAGACTTCTAAACAAATGAAGCCATTTTGGAGGTATTTTAAAACCATTGCTTGTAGACACAAACAGTAATGCTTTTTGTAAGGTATGGGTTTTCGTAAGGTGGGGTATATAAGGGATGACTGCATTAAAAAGTTATAAACATAAAAAGTTATCCATAAATATTGTTTTTACCGATATCTCCTTATGCCTTACTTGAACAGACCAGCACTAAATCACTCCTGTTGCTCTGGTTTTTCAGTTCCCAGACTTCAAACATGTACCTCTCCAAAAGCCTTTGTTGTCTGCCTCTCTCAGAGTGCTTGGCCAAGAACAGATCTTTTTTACCCCTGATGAACTCATGCACATTATGAAGGTAAGCTGCTCTCTATTACTGCTCTCTATTACCTGGAGCCTACTATAAGTATTACCTCCGTGTCTTTTAACACCTTGTATATTTGCTCTGTTTCAGCTTGGTGGAGGAAAACTGTATTCGGCTGAAGCATGGCAGATGGTCTATTTATTAACCAAAATTCTTGATGTACAAACGACTCAGATATTGAATTTAGAGGTTCGTCAAATACAACCCTGTTCTCTTGGTTTGCCAGTTGAAGTAAGCGCCAATGGAATTGTCATGGTACAAGCTGCAGTAAAGGGTAAGTCTGGAATCAGCAAATTTCATAACGACTTATGAATAACACACAAAATCAAAACAAGTCTGAGAAGAAGATCAATTCCTTTTTTTAAATGAAACTGATAGCCTCTACAAATATTGAACTATGATATTTATTTATTTATTTATTATTCCTTAGTCACATTTATGTCCCACTTTTCTTCCAGTGAGCATAAAGAAGCATCCACAACCCACCTCTTCCGCATTTTATTCTTATAATAACTCTGGAAATCAGTAGAGGCTGAGAAAGAGTGACTAGCACATGGTCATCTCCTGAGTAGGCTATAGGCTCCCAAGCTCAAAAGGAGCATTAATCGGCACAAAAGACATGACAAGGGTCATCCACCATCTCATCTCCCTTTTTTCTGCCTCCTTTATCCTTTCAAAATGATGTACAGTAGTTCTCTTTTTAATTTAACATATTCCAATGCAAAGAGGAAAAAGCACAATAGATGAGCAAAGTCAGTGACACACACATTCATGGGAGGGAGGGGGAGACCATCTGCTTATGATATAAAATATATAATTTTTTACAACATTGACCCAATCAGAGTGGAGAGAAATTTGTTTCTTGTTCCAAAGAACTAGTTCTGATCAATCTATCATTAAAAATATACCAACCAGTTCCTCTTACACCGTAATTTAAGATATGGCAGATTCCCTGTCAAAACCCAACCATACTACAGATGTTCTCTCTTAATAAGAAAACCATAATATACAGTACATTTGCCTAGTTTAAATGTTTTTTCCCCTTCCTTCTGCCTCTTCTAGTAAAAACAGTGGATAGTCTTGGAGAGCGTTTGGAAACTCGACTTGACAGCAAGATCATGTAAGTAAATTATGATAAGTCATACATGTCATAGCTGGCAGAAAAGCCACAAGTGCCTCTCAACTGACTAAAACTACACTAGCACTATAGTTTAATATCCTGTCATGACACTCAAAATCCACTGTTCAGGGGTGGGTAGGTTACCTCATTCTGACTAAAGTTATGGCAGGGTTTCTGAACTGTGCAGAAAATTCTAATATGTGCCCTTTCCCATTTTATTTCAGCCTCCAAGGCCGGGGAAAGTTTTTCTGGGGTGTTAACACAGGTTTCTCACAGCACATTGTGGAAATGACAGCAAAATTCCGTACTCAGGGAGCACTCAAATTGAATGCCACATTGGACAAGCGAACAAAGAACCTCAGAGTCGACATTGAGCCATTCCATGACCGATTTGAGCTGGGATTGGCAGGGTAAAGTGATGATTCTTCCATTGCTGTGATTTTTTACCCCTTATGACCCACTGTTCCTTAAAGAAGTAGGCCATGACTAAGAAAACAAAAGCCCCATCAAAGGATATTTCTAAGGAAAGGGCTAAAGGTTATGCCAAATTGAACTGTGCTCTTTCACCAGCTTCCTAGAACATTGTCTTTCATGATAGAATTCTTTACCAGGGTTTTGTGGATAGGTTATGAGCAGACAGAATTTCTCTACACTACCAAGTAGTGCTCTGCTGAGCTCCAGTTTCCCAAAAGTTTCCTTCCCCAGTCAGGCCCCTGACCCTTTGTAAAACAGGCTTCCATGTTTTTACTTCTTTTTCAGGATATTTTAGAATTTCACTTGAGCTTGAGTATCACTGCCAAGTGCCTTGGGGGATCTGTGGTTTCTTTTTTTCTCTCTCTTATGCATCTCTCCATTGCTCTGCAGTCTCTCCACCTGACCCACATTTTGATCTGAAAAAATTCTGGTGCAGAGTTACCTCATGGCTCCAAACCCATTCTGTTGGCTTTACCTGAAGCATAGGAATCTGGGGAGGCTACCGGTTGCCAAAGAGATGATTGTACAAGGAAAGACAGGATACTTCCTCCTGTGTCCCTTAGCCATATTTGCACTTGCAAGAACCCTATACCTCATCCATGAGAATTTAACCAAAAGTGTCTTCTACTTTGAGGTGGTGGGAAATGAAAAATAATTTCACTTCCATCAACTTGAATGAGAATAGTAAAAAGGAAAAAAAGCAGAATACAGTTTTTTGGACATAGCACTAGTAGCATTTTCTCCTAAGGCTCTCCAAGGCATCAAACCCATTGCTGGGAGAAAGGCAGTTTAGAGTGACAATATATATATATTTTAAATGATTGCATTTTTTGCTGCCCAAGAAATATCTGAATTTTGTGTTCCATTACTAGCCAAAGGCCTTTCTGCATTCCTGGCACTGAATGAATTTGTTTTCCTTGCATTGTCATGCTTCACATTTGCAACAATTCAGTAACTCTCACTACATATTCATGCAGCCATGAGGCACATGTTGTAGCAAGATACCCACACACTGAGAAGAAAGCTCCAGTTCTTCCAGAAGCACCTGAAATTGACATTTTGAATGAAGAGTTCAAATCCAGAAGAAGTGACACCCAAGTAAGATTTTCTTCATGTATGCATGCATCCTGTGGTAAATGTCATTATTTCCTGATCTTGCAGGCAGTGTTGTTGCTTTAGAATGATACCCTGTCTTCTCCTCATTCAAATTTAATCACCTACATGCCTTTCATGGTACATGGGATACCTTCTCATCAACGAGCAGAAGTGCAATAAACAAAATCTGATGGTGATCAACATTATACTAAGATATTTTTCATAAGTAGGCACATCATTTTGTAGCTGAAAACCTAGAGGATTAAAAGTCCTTTCATTATCCCTGAGCTGCCATCCCAACTCAAACAGACTCAGTTTGCCACACTTCCCACAGACGGTTGGGAACATTACATTTGCTGAATAATTTCTACTTGTCTTACACATTTTTGTATATTACTGGGTTGGGGTTTCTTCTATATACTCACAAGCTTATGTTCATTGCAGCAAAAAAGTGAGTTCTACAAATCCAGGCCTGAAGACAGATGCTTTCGGTTTGCAGCATATCCAATGAAGATCTGTTTCGAGACCGTCAAGAAAACAAAAGATGTTGTGTCCGTACGGAAGACATGGCTGCACATGTTATGTGAAGCTCATGAAATGAGGACAATGCTGATAACAGGTATCACTGTGCAATCAAAATGTTGCATGCATGTTCTTATATGTGCTCACAAAGTTGTGTTATTTTCTAACGTATATCCATAAACTGTACTCCACAAAGATGTTGCTGTGGACAAGATCAGTTGTGAGTTCCAACAAGACCATGAAATACCACGGTCAAAAAGAGAAGTAAGACCTGATGAAGACGAGAGTCCATATGAAGCAGAGAAGGTATGTATGAGACATTGACCTTAAAGGAGTATAACATGTTAACAATTTCTGTGGAACAACTGATGTGGAGGGGGACTTTGTTGACAATACCATTCTAAAGGCAGACATTATTCAGGCAAGACTCAAGTGATTTCACTTGCCAGATATACCATTTATTTCTGAATGGATGGACATCCTTGCTTTATCCACTGCATCTTCTCTTTAATGACAATAGTATGCTATTCATATTACCACACACCCACAAGAGAAAAAACAGTAGTGGTTGTGGATATGTGAATATGTCTGTTTATATGACTGGACCTCCCTGGCACGTAGAGTAAAGTGAGTAGGATAATGGCATATTACTCCTTCATATGTTATAGTAAATAAGAACCTAATAGCCATTACTGTACTTTGTTTCCTGTCAAGAAAAAGGCAATCTGCCATGTTTGCACTGAAACCCAGTGCTTTTGCATGCTAAGGTTTCCTCTTTTATTTAAGAACACATCTTGGTTCCCAATAAAAAATGTGAGCAAAACCCTACATTCCAACAGTTTTTCTGGAATTCTAGTTGTTTTGATCCCCATCTCTGCTCAAATTATAACTAAACAGAACAGCAGAAAAATGTTTTGTGTCACATTATATTATTCATTTGTCTTCCAGATATTTATATATATGTACAAAATTTTTGTGTATCATGTTCTATACCACACTGGTCTACCTTAGCAAGAAAGATATCAATAAAATAAGTTAGAAAGTATAAATAAAGGAGGTGGAAGGGGGGGGAGAAATGAAAAGAATAAATGAAAGAAAACTTCATGAAACAAGCAGTTGGTCTTGAATAAAGGTGTTTCTCTGCCTCACTCCAAAATACACTGCAGGCTGGAAGCAGAACTTTGAAGAAGATTTACAAGGACGAAAAAGGACAAGATCGTAAACCCTTCAGAAAACCAGAGAGTTCCAGCTCTTCCTCCACTGATGAGACTTCCTCTAGCTCTTCTTCCTCTTCACAAAAATTGCAAGAAAAAAGGAAAGGTGACAGCAGCAGCAGTGACAGCAGCAGCAGTGACAGCAGTAGCAGTAGCAGCAGCGACAGCCACAGCAGTAGCAGCAGCAGCAGCGACAGTGACAGCAGTCGCAGTAGCAGCAGCAGCGACAGCAGCGATAGCAGCAGCAGTGACAGCAGTAGCAGTAGCAGCAGCGACAGCCACAGCAGTAGCAGCAGCAGCAGCGACAGTGACAGCAGTCGCAGTAGCAGCAGCAGCGACAGCAGCGATAGCAGCAGCAGTGACAGCAGTAGCAGTAGCAGCAGCGACAGCAACAGCAGCAGCAGCAGCGACAGCAGCAGCAGTGACAGCAGTAGCAGTGACAGCAGTAGTAGCAGCAGTAGCAGCAGCGACAGTGACAGCAGTCGCAGTAGCAGCAGCGACAGCGACAGCAGCAGCAGCAGCGACGACAGCAGCAGCAGTGACAGCAGTAGCAGTGACAGCAGTAGTAGCAGCAGCGGCAGCAGTGACAGCAGCAGCAGTGACAGCAGTAGCAGTGACAGCAGTAGTAGCAGCAGCGGCAGCAGTGACAGCAGCAGCAGTGACAGCAGTAGCAGTGACAGCAGTAGTAGCAGCAGCGGCAGCAGTGACAGCAGCAGCAGTGACAGCAGTAGCAGTGACAGCAGTAGTAGCAGCAGCGGCAGCAGTGACAGCAGCAGCAGTGACAGCAGTAGCAGCAGCAGCGATAGCAGCAGCAGCGACAGCAGCAGCAGTGATGATAGCAGCAGCAGTGAGAGTGATCAGATCAGTGAAAAGGTAAGTGTTATCAGTGCCCTGCAGAGAGTTGATGAGTACTTCACAATAGGGGGTTTGTGGAAAGTGATTCTCACAGAAAGCTCAGAGTGGAGAAAGCTCAGCAATGCAGCTTCTGCTAATCTAGAAGAGAAGCAAATCTATCCACATGGGATGAGGTGACAGTGCAAGGATACATAGCTACTTACCTTCGAGCTAAAATGCTACATAAACTGGAACATATAGCAATCTATCAGCTGATTGATGTGGGGACTCTTCCATTCAGCCAGTTTACTAAGCCCAGGAATTTAGTGTGGGAGTTTGAAAGCACCTTCTCTAGCTGTCATGCTGTAACAAGCTATGCCTGAGTGGGAGATGTGTTGTGCTAATACATATGTATTTAGGATGAAGCCCACCTTTAAACCTAGAAAACAATACTGCAGAAGTGAATGTTGTGCAGAAGGACATGCTGGCACAAGTTGTAAAGATTAAGATGCTTGGTTACAATTCTTAAAATTTAACTTTATAATGAGGAAGTCAACAGAATTGTTCTAGGCTAAGTTGTGCTTTCTCAGACTGCCTCTGCTCAGCAGCTCCTCATTCCACTCTGTAACACGAAACAGTCACAAAAGCGAAAAATAATGGGTACACATTACTGACACAAGATTGCATGGTCATTTTGAGCGACAGTCCCATGGTTTTCCACCTATACTGATCTACTGTTTGGATTACTGGGAGTGAGCATGACGGTGGACATCCAAGTGACCTGCAGGTGCTTAGTTTGCCTCTTTCCCTTCATCCAACCCAATAGATATTGATGAACAGCCAAGCTCTCATAACATTTTGAAGACACCTTTCAGAAGCATGAGTTCTTCCCTGCATAACCATTTTACAGTAATAGCATTCCCCAAATATAGTTGGAATTCGTCACTCTTTAAAATTCACTACATTTTTTAATGCCACTAGAAAAAATCATTACTTTTTCTTCTTCAACATTTTGCTTTCTTGTCCTTTTCTTTTAAAGGGCGACAAAAAAGACATCTACATGTTTAGCTTCAGATCAGTTAAACAGCAGGTAAGATTTTTCATTTCATTCTAATTTAAACAGTTTAGAAGGAACACAAATGTGAAACCAGAAAATGATCAGCAGAACCGTATCAGAATTATCGTTTTCTTCATATCTTTCTTCTGCTGACTTTGTGCTGTACAGGTGACAAAGGCATCCAAATCTTGGTGTCTTGACATCTGGTAATTAAGAACAATGGTGGTGTTTGTGTGTCATCCCCCTTCTCTGGCCTCAAGGGTAGCTACACCAACCCACTCATTGCCTCTGTGATTATTAAAAAAATGTTGAGCGAACTATTGTAATATAATTACTATGAGAAGTAGCTGTATGCTATGGGATCCTCAAATGCTACAGAGAAACTGCACAGATCATACCATGCTGGAAGGCTGTTTATTGCTATTTCATCTGGAGTATGTCTGTGGTTCTGAAGATGATTTTATTTTTGCATTCCTCAAAGAAACAGCAACCTAGTGGCAAACAGAGGCCAACAAGCAGCAGCAGCAGCTCTGACAACACAGTTGAAGAATATGACGACTCTTCCTCTGGTTCCAGTTCTAGCTCTAGCAGCGAAGAAGACATCAAAGACTCTTCGGTCAGTGTCAAAAAATGTTCACTTTTAACAGATGACTGGAGCTTGGAAACATTAGTTTTTTAAAAAACTACAAAGCCCAAAATCCTACTGGCCAGGCTGACTGGGAATTATACAGTAATTTTAAAAGCAACCTTTCCAAGCTCTTCAAGGCAACAGACTGATGGGACTATGCATATCTGTCTTTGATAGCACAAATCTAGGAAACTGAGTTCTCAGATAAATTTTATTTGTGCTTTCTCTCCAAGCTGGGCCAGAAACCAGAGGTCCTGGCACCTCCCCACACATGCAATTTGTAAGAAAATATTTAGTTACTGTTACTAGATCAGCTGTCTAAATAACATTTTCTTCTTCTTTCTCTTTTTCGGTCCCAAAGCTGGAACTTGTCCTGCATGCTCATCTTCACTTCATCTGCCATGACAAGAAACAATATGGACTCGATGTTGTGATATATAAAGGCCTGGAGACAGTACAAATGACTGTGAAAGACATCAATCGCCCAAATAAGCCTATTGCTGTCTTTAAAGCTGTCATGCCCAACCCTCACAAAGTTGTGGTGAGTGTCTTCAAAGTAGATGGGTGTTCCCACAGATTATATCACCAACTGCTAATGATGCATTTTAACAAAATATATTTCCTGTTCTTCCTTCCTGCTTAGACCTCTCTGACAGGAATATGGGATTCCAGGGACTACAGGTTTGCACTGGAAACTGAGACCGGCTGGTTTGCTGATTATCCAGCTCTTCGATGGAAACTTGACTATCCCAGGATTCCTCCATTCATTGCTAATCTGACTGAGCCGTAAGCAAATGCATACATTTCAATAATGACATTAGGAGACAAAAATTGGTGGCTGGCTAGGCAGCTTTTAATTATGCCAGGTCTTTCCATGCGAATGACTGAAAACAGAAATGTAATCTCAATCCAAACATTTTCTCAAGTTTGTAGCTTGTTTGAAAGGTCTAAAGCAGCTGTTCTCAATGGGGCTATAAGGGGGACACATACTGGAAACAATTCTTCAAACATCACCTTACAAGGTTCATTATGTGACTTATAAAATCTTGATGCAGCCTGTATTTCATACTGTGTTTATGGCTGTGGCCAAAAAAAGGTTGAGAATGGCTGATCTAGAGCACATCAAATGGGACAGAAATACACAAGCATTTGTTCCACCTCCTAAAGTTGTTAGAACTTCCTTTTTTCTGATGAGTTGAGCAGCTATTAGTCTGAGGGTACAAAGCAGGCTTGCTGACTATTGTCACTTGGGCCTCCACTCATTTACATGTTTCCAGTAACTTAAAGGAGATTTTTTTTTGATCCATCCATAGCTGTTAAAGCTGATTAGGAGGCATCCCTGAAATGCATGGGCTTTTCAATTCAGTATGTCTTCTGGCATATCTTGGAACAGTTACATTTGGTGCCACCACTTCCAGAATCCACCAGCTAGTTCAACGGACTCTGAAAATAATATTTTGTGCCACATGTGAATCAGGTTCATAACTACTGGGCTTCCAAAATGAATTAAAGCATAAAGTTCAACAACCATGTGTTACATCTGCTTTGATCTGGATTCTTGGACTTGATAGCCTTATAGGCCTTTTCCATCTCCATTATTCTATGATTCTATAAGCATTGTGTAAGACTGGAGCCTGAATTTGCTGCATTGTGGTTTTACTAGGATTGTTTTGCCTATTAAATTCCCTTCCTCATCTTCTAAATTATTACAGCCAGCTAACCCAAGTGTTCCTATCTTTTTCCCAAGGATTGTTGCAAGGATCCCTGGAGTAGCTTACATGCTAGGCTTCTTACATAAAGTTCAAAGAAACCCCGCTAACCGGATTACATTGGTCTTTGCTCTGACTGGCCCAAGAAGCTATGCTGTAGTCTTGAAGCTCCCAACGGTGAGTTGGATATGGGATTATTTCAGTCGGGACAGATGTGAAAGTATTAGTATCAAAATCATAGGGCTGCTTTTTCACCTGTTGTGAATGACCTTCTGCTAGTGTTCTCAGAGCAAATCTTCTGTGGTCATCATGTGAAATAAGAAAACATTATATGCTATGCTAAATGTTGTTTGTGTAGCTGCAGGTTCCTGCAGGGTATATTTAAAGTTGGTCCGCTTCTGATACACAATTCAATGTGATTTGCTTCACCAATATAGAAAGTCCAAGATGACATGGCATATTGTTTATGGATAATGACAATGCTGGACTGTGTATAAAGACAATAAGGGCTCATCATGAGTAATGTCTTTGTGCCTGTCTGAAGTAAATATAGTTCTGCTGAACTGAAGAGCTTGGCAAAATGAAACAGAAGTCACTCTGGTCAATTTTTAATCACTTTCCACATTTTGTTACAGGAAGGCACTGTCTATGCTGAAGACTGTATGCTTCCACTCCCAGTACCTTTTAGACCAACTGTCCACACCTCAGAAATTTTGGATGTTCCATCGAGGGTCCTTGCTAGCCTGAATGGTCAGTAATATAACCATCCTGAGAGCATTTATGGAAAGGGAAACTCTGGTACAGTTGATGCCAGTTTGATCTGCCCTATGGTGGCAATGGCTAGAGATTATGGAAACTGTGGCTCAGCAATATTGGGGAGTACACAGATTCCTATTCCTGCCTTAAACTATTTATATTGTTTATTTATTAATAACATTTTACTCTGCCTTTCTCCTTAAAAATGGTAAAAATGCACACCAAAAACACATTCAAAGTAACAACAAATCTACATATATCTATATCTCCAAATATCTTCTACAAACATCTGAATTATGTCAGATTATTCTAATAGAAATGAGCAAAATGCAAGAATCAATTTGTCAGATTTGTATTAATTAAACTTGTATTTCATTATCACTATTCCTAATACCATTTATATTAGCACCATAGTGGTAAAGCAAATATGATTTAATATACAGCTTAGCACAAGCCATAAAACCTCATCATTTAATGTTGCTTCCTCTAGAAGAAGAAGCAGATTTTTTTAAAAAAATGATCAGAAAGCAAATATTAATTCTAAAATGTTATTAATTAGAAATTAATTATAAAATGTCCAAATTTCCTATGTGAGAATGAATACTATACTTTCTCCTCTCCCTGTGGTAGTAAGATGTATATTATCTGCTTCCACTGAACATGTTCACAATCACAGCATTAATATCTCTGTGCCTCTCTGTGTGTCTCTCTCCATTATCAGGTGTTTGTAAAGTAGAAGGTCAAACAATCACAACCTTCAGTGGAGAAACTATCAACAAAGGACTGGTTTCAGACTGTTTCCTGGATTTGTTACAAGACTGTACCTGTCACAAGAAGATTATGGTGCTGATGAAATATGAATCTGCCAATGACAACAACATACTAGTCAATATCACTATTGGCAACACGTAAGTATGCTTAAGCCTACAACTGGGGAAGTAATCTTCTCTTCATGGGATAAGAAGGAAAGTTTCAGCTTCAAGGATTCTTTCTAAAAGAAACTAGAAAGGCTACAAGGTCTATCTGTCATACAGCAACAAAAATCATAACTAAATCAGGACAACATGCTCAAAGAATATCAGGAATATTAATAAGAGGAAAATCAGGCTATGCAGCTGCAGAACATAAAGGGGCTATAAAGTGTAACAGTAGAAGAAAAGAACAACCCCGGATCTTACTTGAAAAGAAGAAAACAGGCCTTCTTGTAGGCATCTAAAACCATTTAGTGCCAGGATTAGGCTGGCTCCTCAGCAGAGTAAGCTATGATCTGGTGTCATTGCTGAAAACATATTGTGCCTTATGATTACCCATCATCAGGGCCATCTAGAGGATACATGCGAACAGGTGCAGATATACACTGTCCCCTTTAAGGGGTCAAGCATGTGAGGGCTGCAGAGGGCAATATGGCAAAATCAGGGCAGGGACCAATGGCACAAAGGAAATTAATTATTTTCCTGGTGGAGGTCCAGGGCAAGTTGCTGTGCTTCACCAGGAAGTTCCTTTTTAGAGTCACAATTCCCACAATCTCTCAGGCATTATGTGGCTGGGAGATTCAGGGAGCTACCATCCAAAAAAGTAACTTTTCCATGTTCTGCTTTGACCTGTAATGGAATCCAAAGCACCATCTTAGATCAGTATTGAGCTGATCGTTCTGTTGTCAATCTGAGTCATATTTCCATGTCTAATATACATCCAGTCTATTCAAGACATTTCTTCCTAGACAGCTGATGCTACTTTTTTCTCTGTGGTTGCTCTTCTTTATGACAACAAACATTGTAGACAAGTATTTTCTCTGGCTTTCCAGAGAACTTGAGTTACATAACAAGATGAAAGAAAAGCAAGCAAACAAACAAAAAACACCAAGCCAGAGAGTGGCAAACTGACAATCAGTAGCTCAGAATGTGCTGTCAGAGATGAATTGTGATAACAGACAATGAATCCCCTCCCTTCTGTTTTATTTTCTAAAAGGGAAATTGTTTTCAAATCTCGCAATGGACAGCTCATAACCATAATTAATGGTACAGAGAGTAAACTGGAAAAACTTAGAGATGGCATTGAAGATGACGGTAAGTTAAATGACATGCTCTTCTGAGTTAACACAAAAGTGGAAGAGTTTTTATCAAGATTTGAGGAATACTGTGGGGAAAGGAAAAAAGAATATCAACCTAATAACACGCATGGAAGAAATATGCATTAAGAATTCGATGCAGATTGGTCATCCAGTTCAGAGGTACTAAGTGTTACCTAAAAAGTAGCTTATGCAGCTCCGTGGGAGTAAAGGCAGAACAAGATGTGCCTGTTTGTGGTAAAATATACTGAAGGAGAGCGAAAGAGGCTGATGAATGGGCATTTTCAGTTAATCAGGGATGACAGTTCCAGGGAAAAGAACATTTTAATTGTTTGGTTCTCTAACCAGGTGGAATCACCACTTTGACTTTTGTTTACCTTTTTTGGTTACCTTAATAGGCATACGGATGGTTGTTAATAGGCCAAGAGAGGGCGTGCTTGATCTTTCGGTTCCCAGTCTTGGACTTCGTGAATTGACCTACAATGGACATAATGTCATGGTATTATTAATTTTTGTATACCTAAAAAGCTTTCAAGATAGTAAAATTGATTTGCATACTACAGGATCCTTGAAAACCCTTGAAACTCACTCCTTTAGGCTTCCTAAAATCCCTTTAAAAACTTGCTTTACAAATCCATCTTCATCACTTTGAATTTGAAATGCACTGCCCTTTGCTATGTACTATTTTTCAATGCTTGCTTTGGTAGGATGAATGCTACCTTACCTCACTTTCTCATGGTAAACCACACTCCAATGTTTGTTAATGTTTGTTTCCGTTTCATGAAGATTACAGTCACTCCTGAGATGGGATATACCTGTGGTCTCTGTGAGTTGTATGGTGGAGAGTCAGAGAAACTCCGAAGACCTGATGGCTCCTCAGCTATGGATCTTGTGAGCTTTGCTCAGTCCTGGGTAGTCTCTGATGCAGAGGATGGAGGTAGATAGCCTTTGATCGCTTGTTTTGGTTATCATCATGAGGGCTAATGTCAATTCTAGGTCTGAGGGTCTCATGGGCATCCACTGTGCTCATCAGGGTGGGCTTATTTGGCAGCAGTGGCAGTAAGAGACTGTACTCCACAGACCAAGAAGCACTTTACTCTGCCTATTGTGTTTGAGAGTAATGTCATATCAAACATATGCTAGGGTCCCAGCAGAATCCTGAGCATTTTAAGTGTTGTCACTGGGTCTGAAGAGAGTTATTTTAAATCATTAAAGCCATTTAGCCTCTTGAGTCTACATCTGTACTGTGTGATATTCACCAAGCTCCTTGAAATCTCATTGAGCAGAGAGGCTAACTACAGAATTTCTGGATTCCTATATAAGGTTTTAAAAGTTCTCTATTTATTCTATTACAGTCTGCAGACTGCAACAAACAACAGTAGACCAAGAAGAGTCCTGAATTTCTGGTAAAATGTCTTTTTGCTACATAGTAGAAGTACAGAGACTTACAGAGAAGAATAGCTACAGGTTTTCCAGAGTCTACCCCCTTCTCATTAACTGGCATTTAAAGTCTCAATAACTCACTCTGAGACATTTGTAGAAGAAAGAATAAATGGCATTTCTTTACTTACAGTTACTTGAAAATTACAGACATGTATACAGTACTGATTTCTTTACCACACTTACACTCAGCAACAAACTGAACTGATCAACAGCAAACAATCTCCACAGACAAAAGAGATGAAATGAGAACACTCAGCAGATAGGGGGAGCCTTCTTTGAAACGAAAGGATGGAAGGAACACTTAGTGCTGTAGAGACAGTTACTTCAGTCCAGAAAAGTTCCTCTCAGTCACATAAACCACAGATAGCATGCAAGGTTGCAAACAAAATTCGAACAGAAAAACTATGTGTTTCCCATCAGTCTGTGTTGTGTTATGCTGAAGGATTCAAATCTACTGTACCCAAGTGCCTATGGGCTTCCATTTTATGTCAGCTAGTAAGTCCATGTAATATCTACCATTTGGGTCTGCCCACAAAAACTACTATAATATATATATTTAAATTACTACAGTGCAAAAGAATACAGAAGGAAAGGAAGTAGCAAGAATTTGATTTTACTGGAATGTGGTGGATAATATATAGAGAGTTATTATTTTTCATTGATGTGGGGAAAGAAAGAATAGTCCATAGTCCTAACAAAAATGCTGTGACAGAAAAGACAAATCTTATTTGACTTTCAGATTTAAGATGAAAAGCACTCTTCCTCTTACAAAACAATTCCTTCCTGTAATTTCTTTAATTCTTTTTTTCCAGAAGCAAACTCACTCGCTGACCTGACAAATCTTGATGAAAAATCTGAAGACCGCATAGACGCAATTGGATCCCACACTGCATGTATTTCCAAGGGAACATGTTAGAAACCTGTAATATTGTTTCCTGTGCAGGCCGGTGTGTTAATTCTAGGCAAATGCACAGATCCTAAATTAAGTATTTTAAAAGTATTGTGCAACTTCAAATCTGCCATATCCCTATGGAAACAAAGCTATGTGTGAATTAAATTGATAATTTTCTAATAAACACTTGCATTCAAAAAGAAAAAATAATTTGTGTCTTCTTCATTTCCTTAAACATGTAGCAAGGTGAATATATATTTTACAGTAATTGCCATGTAAGTGACTGATTACTTTAATTTCTTTTATTTTCTTTTTACATTGTATAATGTTGGGGGTTTTTTAATATAAAGACAACTCATAAATCATTTAAATCAACAAAAATAAAACCTCAACATTTTCCCATCTCTTTGGAAAATGTGTTAATTTTGCTTTCTTAAATTGGGCTGAGAATGAATATATTTTGCTTAGAGTGAGCCCACTGAAATCAAGGCAGTTTTGGCTACTTCTTACTAACGTAACACATTTATTTCAATTAATATACTCTAAGCAAACCACTTTGGGCTCAGTCTGTATGAGGCAAAGGACAAAACGATATCATTCTGTGCTTGTGTTACTTTGGCACTAAATCTTGCCCTCAGCACTGATGATGGAACAGTATCCTCCAGGGCTAATAGTTGAAGCCTTCCAAGCAAGGGAACATATAGTTCTTTGTCTCCCCTTGGGGTAGAAAATAATTGTGCTTCACCTCCTCCACATCTATTAAATAAATCAATTGTCTCACTGTGGCTAGTGGAAAGGATAGATGTTTTCAGTTCAACCCAATATATGTTACAGAGAATAAATATTTGTTGAGAATTCATGGAAGGTAATAAGCAATCAAATGAGTACCCAATATACAAGTATAATCAGTTCCAAGTCTCCATGGATTCATGCACCTGTGTAACAAAATAATATTATACCTCTTCAAAAGTTAATTCACACTCTCTTGCTATTAAGGAAAACAAAGTGCAGCCATACCCTCCCCAGACAGCATTCTTGTTTCAAGAAAACTCTCCAATAACATATAGCCTACTTAATTTAAAATTAAAGCATAGCAGTAACACATTTGCCCTATCCAGAACCAGCTAAGGGGAAACAGATTTTTAAAAAACTCTGCTGAATCAATTAATGTTTATTTTACAGAGAGTGCCATGGGCTTAAACAAAACCAGTGATCAGCTAGTACACCATGTCTGAGCCAATCTGAAATGTGAGAGCTTAAAAATATATCTGGGTGCTTAACATGTCCTTTTAATGGATGACACTGAGCCAGTGAATATATAGCTGGATTTACAGTATCCCATACAGAAAATCATGAAATCTGCAGTCTAAATTTCAGACTCGTTCCTGTTTTTTCTGGTGTTCCTGTTCTCCAGGCTGTAGTTCTGTAGTTCAGGAACAGGAACAAAAGGTCATTTTATATTCTTTTGTTGTTAGAAATACTGACACACAGACTCACTTCACAGTAAATCTGTCAACATCTGGGCCATGTAAGAGCTTCACAGTTACAGAAATCTTTTGTTCCAGCTGCAGCAGAGCTGGGTATTGCCATAGAAAAATCAAAGGACACTGTAATAATGAAATATGTCCTGTATCTTTGAAAACTCTAAAATGTTTTTAAAGTTACAATCATCAGGACAGCCAGGCACTCAGTATCTCATTCCTTGAAACTGGAGGGCCAAAATCTGAGGCCAGAAGAGGCATGTGCGGGCAGGGCAGCCTGGAAGAGGCCAGCTGGTGGTGGAAAGAGGCATGGGGTTACTATGGCAACCCAGAGTGTCAAAGGAGGGGGGAAATGGTAGTAGACTTTGCCTCAAATGCTGCTATTGCCACTCCTTCTATCCTTCCTATTCCACATGGTCTTACCTACAGCACATATGGCCAGTGAGGAGTTTTACCAGCTTTTACTCTGTTGCTGGGGTCTTTTTAGAAGATTCACGGTCAGCCCCATGTCATTGCTGTCAGGGCCTATACAGCAAGAAGAGCTCTGAGCCATGATGCTACTTCATGATGTAGGGCCTATACAGCAAGAAGAGCTCTGAGCCATGATGCTACTTCATGATGTTATCCGGTTCTCTAATGGAGGAAAGCTCTAAAAAAAATAGAGAACTGAGACACGAAGGTTTTCCATTGAAGTTCTATTTTATTTGCATGAAAAACAAAACGCTACTGCAGATAGCGGGAAGAAAACCATTTCACCTTAATTGAGGGTGATTAGGGTTTCTTCAAAGAAACAAAGGAATTGGTACAATCTTATAGCCTGTCCCTTCAGGGCATTGGGGTGGGCTCACAATCTCCTTAAAAGGTCATTAAGTTAGTTAGCAATAATTCATTGGATTAGTGAAAACACATTTTACACATGCGCAGAACAATTCACTTTCCCTAAATCATCCTTTTGTCTTTTGTTAGCCTCTGCATACCATTCTACTGTTAGTATGTTGCTTTGTAAGTCCTTGAGCTGTGAAGAAAAAAAAGCAAGGGGGGGTCGAGCCTGTTTTGTCCAGCCTGCTTTTACGAGGCTGGCTAATCTCTTCTGAATACACACACAGCCTGTCCCAAGTAAGAACAATCTTTTATGAGGCAATTGCCTTAATTGAATAAGTCAAACATTTACTCCTATCAATGATGCTTGGGTCCAGACTACCTGAAGGGACATAGCTCCCCAAATGCACCTTTTTGGCTTTTAAGATCATGAGAGGAAGCCATCTTCCTGGTCCCATTGCCAGTGCAGGCACACTTGATGGAGGCATGAGAGAGCGCCTTCTCTGTGACTGCACCCAAGTTCTGGAATGTTCTTCCTCAGGAGGTCAGGCTGCCCACCCCCCTTTTTAAACCTTCCACCAACAGCTGATGACTCACCTCTTCAGGCAGGCTTTGAACAATCACAACTGAGTCCTTGAATGCCATTTCTGGGTTAAGATTGTTCTAAATATTTTACGTCTTTTTAATCATTCATTGTATTTTAATCAGTTTTATAGTTTAATTATTTTTTTAATGTATAATGTACTGTGTTTTAAATTCTGTTCTTTTTAATACTCTGAGCTACCGTAAGTCCACCTATCAGGGGAAAGTTGGCCTATAAATAAGACAAATAAATAAATAGTAACAAATAGTTCTCCACTCCCTGTCTTGCTCCAAAAGCTACACTATACTCATAAGCATGTACTTGCTGGCTCTCATCCTGTTCCTCATCCTCTCTCCTCACTCTTGCATTTTTGGTGCAAAAGGCACATATAAACCCCTTCATACTGACCAAATGAGGCCTTGTGCCAACTGAGTATGTGTGAGAATTGGTGCCCAAACAGTAAGGACCACATAGAAACACAAGACCTGGCAACCCTTAAAGGGACTAATTTTTGCTCTGCTTTAAATTGATATTATTCAATCATACTCTATGTTATAGCCCCCAACTGCCTGTGCTACATTTTGCCTCAGTAACAGAGCCACTCCATTTCTTCTAGGTTTGGCATTTCCAAAATAGAACATAGGTAATACCCTGTTCCAGTCCAGTTATTTCACTGACATCAAGTGTAATATTTATACATTCCATTTCTTGCTTTACAGTAGTACTTTGATGAGCTTGCCTATTCTGTTTTAAGAAGTGTGCAGTTCAATCTTATGTGTATCTAATGAGAAGGAAGCCCTTTTGATTCCACAGGGATTTACTCCCAAATATGCATGTGTGCATATCATGGAAGAGGTCTCATTGAAATGAAACAGATCTAACATCTTAGAGCTAACGTCTGACCAATCTTACAGTCCAATTAAAAGAAAGCAGACTCTAGAGGGTAGCCACACAGGTCTTGGAAAAGAAGGACAGCCAGGGCTATACAGTGGACCCTTGACTTACAGACGGCTTGACTTACAGACTTTTTGAGTTACAGACTTCTCTGGCCGCAAGATTTGGGTTTGACTTGCAGCCTGAGAATTGACTTGCAGACCAGAAAAAAACCAAAATGGAACAAAAATGGCCTGTTACGGGATTAATCGGTTTTCAATGCACTGTAGGTCAATGGAGACTTGACTTACAGACTTTTTGACTTGAGAACTGCCTTCCAATACGGATTAAGTTCTCAAGTCAAGACGGCTCAAGTGCCCAAACCGGCATCTGCCCCAGGGTGCAACCTCTAGAGCAGTGATGGCAAACCTTTTTGGGCTCAAGTGCCCAAACTGGAAAACAAAGGGAGGGGGGAAGCAGCAGGCAGTGGGCGGTGGCGGAAGCGGAAGTGGCAGTGGAAGGGGAAATCCTAGGCATGGAGGTGCCTCGAGACCCCACTCCGGATCCACCGCCAGCGCTAGCTGCTCTGAAACCTGGCCTGCCACATGTCAGGGCATCAGCACTGCGGCTGCATCTACCTGCTCAGGTTTGGCTGTGGGGAGGGAGGGGAGTAGCAATCCGGCGACTTATGGCTCGTGTGCCTGCAGAAAGGGCTCTGTGTGCCAGCTGTGGCACACGTGCCATAGGTTCACCATAGCTCCTCTAGAGGATGTGCCCCTTCACCAGCCTGGTCTACCGTTGCAGGAGAAGATAACAATAGGGCAGACATCCAGGGCAGACAGCTGATTTTCTGCCAGCTGTGTATCTGATAGACAAGGCTGCCAGGGGGAAGTGGAGGAAATGTGCTTGGTAGAATAGGCTTCAATGAGGCAGCAGAGAGTAGGTCTACCGTGTGATCAGTAGACCAGGCCTTTGGCCAAGATCACATTAAATGCAATATGCCTAGTAGAGGGAAATAACATGCTGTGACACGTGGACGTCTTCTATCAAATGAGGGAGTACCTTTAAAAAATTCTAATAATCTTATGGCAAACTAATGTGAATGTGGCATCTGCCCAGGTCATAAATATTAATATGATATCTGCATAGATCAATGGGAGGGAGGGGTGGAGTCACGAGATATAGGAGACTCAGCAGGAGGAGGGGAAGTTAGTTAGAGTCAGGGAGAGGGAGAGTTAGGAAGACTAAGAGTTTAGAGAGAAAGTGGTGGTAGAGAGTGGATAAAGGAGGATGTTTGTTTAAGAGTTAACAACATTGCTTGTCCTGTCAACATCTGTAACAATAAACAATTTCTATTTGGTTCTTTTAAAATGATGAATGGCCTGGATCTCGATCATTAATAATAGATAATGTTGATGTAATCAACTGGTGGCAGCTGAATGACACGTATT